TCACTGGAGTATACGGGTGCAGGGCGGTATAGGGGGGTCTCCGCGGAGAGGAGGGGTGCAGCTTAGGGACTCGAATTGCTCCGGGAAGGGGGCTCGACTCCGCATTCAAGCAGGGCCCTGAGAGTCCAGGGAGGTGCTGAGCACTGGGGTGGGGGGTGGGGGTCTCCCTGATGAGAGTATGACAAGGGGCAGTCCGGGGCGGGGCAGAGCAGAGAAGGGTACTGTGTTGGGTTGATACGGATTTCTCCAGCCAAGGGGTACAGCTTCAGCCCGAGTGGATGAAGGGATGACAGGTGTGACCCGCCAGTACCCATTACCAGGAGGCCACGGGTCCTCCAGAGCGCCCCCTCTTCGCCAGCTCCCGAAAGTGGAGGGGGGGTAAGGGGCGGGGGCAGAGCATAAGGAATGAGTCATCCGAGCCGCACGTGGGGGCACTTCTCACAACTATCAAATGCCTTGAAAGTCGCCCCCACCTAGCTAGAAGAAGCGGGCTGGGGGTGGTTCACCCACCCAGGTTAGGGTCCTTGCCCTCCCCCGCTACCGCCCTATCAGCCGCCCACCTCCAATAACTCAGTCTTCAGTGGAAAAGTGGGTCAACCTGGAAGCAGTCAGTAAGGCGCTCGGTGAAAAGACAGGTTTACGCGGACTCTAAAATCGCCCGGCTCCCCAGGTGTACACCCTGGAGCGAACCCCTTGACTACCCCCGCCTCAGTTTCCCCAGGTGGGAAAGGGTTGTGACCAGCGCGCTGGCAGCCCATGACCCCAGAGGCGCGCATAATCTTTCCCATCATTAGGGCCATCACTGTTCAGCTGCGATCCTCCACCCGGAGAAGAGCCGAGCTTACAGCTGAAACACAGCCCGTCGCCACCCCGCGCAGGGGATGGGGCACCTGCTTCATTAGTACCGACAAGCTCATTAGCAGAGGCAGCACTCAGCTCTGCTCCGATAAAAGGAGGCCTTGCGCTAGCGGGGGCAGGTGGTCAGTGTGCAGCCCCGGGTAATGAGGAGGCCGTAAGAGGTCTCGCTATGTCGCTGATGGGCACCTTACCCAGGGCGGGAGCTAGGGCCCAGCCCAAAGCTTCGCAGTATGTTGAGGCATAGGGCAGACCGGACATAATACTGCAGATCTTCGTGACCTGAGGTGACTGCCCTGGAGAGACTCAATTGTCCCCTGCCCAGCGGTCCAACGCCTGGCTCTCAGGCTCACTCACTGGATTCGCGGAGCTGAGCCTACTGTGCGCCAGACCCTGAATCGTCGCCTGCCTGCCTTGGGGATTGCTCCTAGCCAGGGAGGAGAAGATGAGCCAAGGCATCCACCCCAACTATGAGGCTGGCCAGACATCAGGCAGGCCAGGCCACGTGGGCTGGGGCAGGGGAGGGGGGTGGGGGTGGGGTAGTGTTACTGGAGGGGAGGGGAGCCTGCCCAGTAAGTGGAGAACAGGATGGGCAGTGGCAGTGAGCCCATCTCCCAAGCGTGGGGCCTGGTAGGACCTTGCTTTGCCCCAGCCGGGTTACTTTGGACAAGTCACCAACCCTCTCAGATGGGAACCTCAGGCCTGCCTCACCTGAGCCCATGGTTGGGTGAGGACAGCCCCTGCTAATTAACCAGGTCCAGGGGGAATACGCAGTGGACAGCATTTATGGTTTTGTTTTGAGCAAAAAACAAAAGCCCTCCTGGAACCTGAAGGGGTCAGGGTAGACAGAAGGGGCTAGCCACCATGATGTCAAAAGACCAGGAGCTGGGCAGAGCCCCCCACTTCTCGACAGCCCCCAAATTTGCAATTGCCCCCACCCGCTTACTCAGTCTCAGTCTCACCCCCAGCCTGCAGACCACAGCACCTAGAACAAGACCTTGAAGATGGCTGAACCCAATCCTTGCCCCCTCACCACACTCTGCACATTTGGAGAAACTAAGGCCAATAATGGCCCTGCCCCAGGTCTGGGGAGGCTGATCCACCAGTCAGGGCTCTCCCTTCCCCCTTAAGCCCCCCTGGCGCCGCCCCGACCCTGACCCAGTGGCTGCCCCAGCGCGGGTACCTCCCGCGCCCTTCCCCCCCCCCAGTCAGCTACAGCGCAGCCCACGCGCGGCCAGAAACCCGGAGAAGAGCACGAGTGCCATCTCGCGGCGGCGTCCAGCACTGCGCGCCTGGCCCGAGCTCGCTGGAGGCCGAGCCACCTCGCCGCCCCCCCTTTCGCCCACCCTCCCGCGCGCAGGCAGCGGTCCCCGTCGCGGCCCACCGGCTTAGCTATTCCTTGCCAAGACTTGGGCCTCGGTGTCCCAGGGCGAGCACTGGTATTTAGCCGGACCGCGGCGCCAAGCGCCGCCGGGGACACGCTACTGACTCCAGAGCACGTTCCCCGCTACCGGCAAAAGGAGGGGGAGGGGAGCCTCTGGAAAGGGAAGTCACGCGCGCGTCTATAGAAAAGCAATAACGATCCACACCTGGGATTCGCATGGCCCGCGTTGGCAGGTGGCAACCGGGAAGGGGACCCAGAGCTCTGAGCAGCCCCCCGTCCCCTGCTTTATTTTCCTCGTGGCCTGGCAGACAGGCAGAGGGAGACTTAGAGCCAGCGCCTGTCTGGTTCCTACAGAGCTAGTGGCAGGAACAGCCCTGGGCGCTAGGAAGACGCTAGCAGGTTTGAACTACCAACCTGTCAGTCAGTTGCCCAACATTTAAACCACTGTGCCTGCCACCGGAGGGAGTGTGTGTGTGTGACTTGTGCTATATCCCACATGGTAGCAAAACATTCTCAGCACCCCAGAAGGGGACCCAGGCCCATGAGCAGTCACCCTACGCCCCTTGCCCACTCCCCAGAAACCCCAATCTGCTTTCTGTCTCAGGTCTTGCCTCTCTGGACACTTTATAGACTCGGGATTGCCCATGGCCTTTGGGGCCCGTCCCTCAGCAGAAGCTCTCTGGGGGCTACCATGTTGCAGTCTGCGTCTGAACCCCTTTCCTTGCGATGAACCAGTACCAGTGCACATGTGGACAATGGACAGTGGACAGACATTTGGGTTGCGGGGGGGCCCCCCTCCCCCCGCCCCCGGGCTTCTCTGGGAACACCTGTTTTCATTTCTCTGGGGATGTCCCCACCATCCATTCCTTTTATGGGTGAGGAAACGGAGGCACAGAAAGGAACAGCGGCATGCCCCCAGTCACACGGCCAGCCGACGAGTGGCAGGCCTGGCTGGGACCCCAAAGACTCTGGCTCCAGGGTCCTCATCATTAGCCCCTCCTATGGATGCCTGATGCTTTGTCCCTCATGCCTTCCCTCACCCCAGGACACCCAAGATCTCCCAAAACTGAAGGGTTTGCGTGGCAATATTGTCAGTGCTAGGCAGGGGTGTGGGAGTGGGGAGCCTGCTGGGCCTATGCCACTCAGTCCCCCATGATGCAAATATACTCAGAAGCACAGCCATGCTAGCTAGCCTCGGAGCCAGGACCTAACACTAGAGGAACTGAGCCACTAGGCTCGAGAGCTGAGGACCATACTCTCAGGCGTCCTGTTGGTCAGCAGGGCTACATCCTAATTCTGTGAGTAGCAACTGGGCTCTTAAAAGCTAGTAAGCAGCCATCCACGTTACAACTGCTGGTCTGCTTCCATCTGCAACAAAGAAGAATGAAGAAAGCCAAGACTCAAGGAAACAGCCCAGAGGACTGACAGACACCTGGAAGCGGGGCACCAGAAGAACTAGATGGTGCCCCGCTTCCACCTCCAACTGTTCCAACCAGGATCACAAAAGGAGGTGCCAGACAGAGTGAGAGGGGAAAAAGGGAAGATAAAAATTCTGATAAATAAAAATCACCAGACTTACTGGGTTGATAGGAGGAGGCTGGCGGAACCCCTAAGACCATGGCCCCCAGAAACCCTTCTCACTGAAGCCAATCCTGTTCAGCCACAGAAAAGAGAGCTTACAAATTGAAAAGTATAAGAATCCACTTATGTGAACTATGCAGAACAGGCCATTGGAGAGAGAGCAAAGCTGATTCAGGGAGGCCAGGAGCAGGGGGAGAAAGCTGGGGAAAGGACTTGCTGCTTAGGGGGTGGGCATGGGACTTCT